AAACAAGCACCTGCATTTGAAAGCGCAAAACAACTTATAACCAACAAGCAGATGTTTGACCGCAACATGTGTTTCCAGAATGCCTTCTGAACGGGCAACGTACCGCACCAAACTTTGTGCGCCTGTATGGAATTAAATAGCCTAACTTTCGATATGAGACAAATAAGTACACCTTGTTAGGTCACTGACCTATTGGGAAACAAACAATGGCTGTCAGCGAAGGCAATTCCTTGGGACTTGGCAATCGCTCATCCTGATGCGGCTACCAAGAGTTAGACGGGTGAACACATCGCTGAGATGGCCTCCTATACACTTCGGCAATTAAACGTAAGATCATGACCAATTCATTTGACCTTGGTTCAGGTATGAGGCCTACGCCAAGGTCAAAAGCAAACTTTTAACATAGAACACGTTTGATGAAGTTGTTTCTGACGACCGTTTTGATGATTTTGATGCAGGAACGTCAATGCATCTTATTTGGACTTCGTGAAGGTCAGAGGAGGGCGCTGAACCAAAATCATCCCGTTCAGCCGTTTGATGCTTGCATTATGCCCCTAGCGCGTAGCACGATGTTCACGACCATTCGACTTAAAAACAAAAAACAATCTTGTACCATTATGATGACAGTGACAATCATAAGGTCTTATAAGACCACTGATCTGAACAGAACACTTGTGACCTTTTCCCTACAAGAGGTATCTGGGCTAAAGGTGGTCGCATGAGGTCTGAGGGCACCTCGGCCACCGACTTTGAATTTAACACTGTCTGACCTCATTCGATTCACAGGAAATGACTTAGGTACTCAAAATTTAACACAAGTGAGCGCAAGCACAAACCTACCTTCTCTGCGAATTCGGTATATCAAATTCTCTTACTTTTTAATATATCAGTAAGTAAAATTGCCCCACCCCCCCAGTGTCGCATTCAACCAGTCGCCCTGACAAGAGTTGACACAGCTGAGTATAAATGGGGTACGATCGCGTAAGTAATGTACACAAAGTGTGCTAGAACCTGAGTATGACGTGTTGTTACATAACTTTGTTCTCGCCGCCATGCGGTCACTGCCTGTTGCTGACAGCGAGGACCCAGCCCAGCCCAAGGGTAAGTCCCGACCTCACACGACCCTAACCTATTTATCCTAACCCTACTTCGTCCATGAGTTCGCCGGGCACCGTAGTGCCGAGGGCCGCAGTACCACGCCCAGCAGCGTCAGTTTGTCTTACACGGCAGGTAACGCAGGCTACGCAGGCAACGCCGAGGGCACCGACATCCCCATTGGTCATCATCAGGTCATCAACATCACCATTGTCTCACACGGCAGGCAACGAAGGCAGACAACGCCTAGGTCACCTACGTCCGCGGATGGGGGCGGGGGGGGGGGGGAGCGGAACCAAGCACCCAGGCCCAGCTACTCAGGCACTACCCAGCTCGTCCAGTCAGCCGGCGTGCACGGCGACATCGGCCACTCCTCCCTGGACAATGCACTCGTGCGGCGTCTCGGCCCATATGTCCCACACGGCGTACTTTTATACCCGTCACGGACACGTGCACTGATGCACAAACTACGTGCATCGTTAGTTCGGTGCAACTCAATCATAACTGAAAATAACACAGAAGGACATTCCGCATCATGCTTTGACGCACAATATTACTCTGCAGTTGTTTTATCCCATACTTACATCAAATAAAGATAACGCATCGAAACATCGACCACTAGCAATATAATTCAGCGACTAACGGCTCTGACTTTCACAGTTCCATTCTTTTCGCGAGAAAACCTATATCTGCGGAGCTCTGGCATACCACTTGCAAACCCAGCTTTGCATGCACATACACACAACACTCCCACCATGGGAATGTGAGAGCGATTGGCAGACCGAGCGACCCCGCCCTCCACAACGACTTGTATAAAAGACCACGGGGCCGGGAACATAGCATCAGTCACCCACCGGAGCACACTGAGAGCACCATGCAGGTGAGGTCAACTGAGAGGTGAAGACAGCACATTATTGCATGTTTCATTATGAAAGGTGCAGTCCAAGATCAGGATGGTTGCCATGCGTACTGCTTAAAGAGCATGTCATAAAGTACGGTATGTCATTTCAGATCTTCGTTCTCGCCGCTGTTCTGTCTGTGGCTGCGGCCCAAAGCTACGGCAAGGCACCCGCCCCACGCTACGCTCCTGCTCCGGCGCCACGCTACGCTCCTGCTCCGGCGCCGAGCCACGCCCCGGCTCCGTCGTACGGCCAGGCGCCTTCCTACGCCTCGTCGTACCAGGAGCCGCGCTACTACGCCCAGCCGTACCAGTTTGCGTACGCCGTCAACGACCATTACAGCGGATCAGTGTTCTCCCAGAACGAGAACAGCGACACCAAGATCGTACAGGGCTACTACTCGGTCAACCTGCCCGACGGTCGGGTTCAGCACGTGAAGTACACGGCTGACAACCAGGGCTACGGCGGCTACAACGCCGAGGTCACCTACGACGGCGAGGCCCAGTACCCCGAGCCGGCCAGCTACGCCCCAGCCCGCTCCTACGCTCCTGCCGCTCCCTCTTACAAGGCTCCTCCCTCTTACCAGGCTGTTCGCCCCTCTCAGCCTGCTCCCTCTTACAAACCAGCTCCCTCTTACCGGCCTGCTGCTCCCTCTTACACACCTGCTCGTTCTTACCGGCCTACTGCTGCCTCTTACAAGCCCGCTCAGTCTTACGGACCTCCTTCCCAATCGTATTAGCAAGAGTCCACAACTCCGTTAAGTGTGCATTCATATCATATTGTTTTCTCGTTTAATTGTGTGTTCTACGTCTTTGGTATAATGAATTGCATAAAATAAACTGTTCGTACTTTAAAAATCAATTGTATGAAACAAACCAAGCAACTCGGACCGGGGAACAAAACATCGTCGCAGTAAGGTTGCACATGGCGGGCAGGAGGATAGCGACTGAACAAACGCCTCCATGACACTCGTGATGTATGATCCTGAAGCAGTGGTGAACTGCGACCAACATGCTGGCCGACATTGTGTTAAATCTTTAACACCGTATTTCTGAGGCAAAGAACAAAATACCATCAGACTGTTGAAGGGAGGCATGTCACTATCTCCAGTTATGGTTGGATCGGAGTCCTGGATCACTCCAGTTGTAATACAGCCATGATATAACAGATAATTACAGTTGGGGCAAAAAGCGAATCAGCAAGAACATTTCAAATGATGGTTTTTTTGTTAGGAGTTGGAAAGCTGCCTTGTATACCAATAATTTTTACTTGCTTTCGGGGCAAATCCGAACACTTTTGGCAGAGATCCCAAATCATACGACATGGTTACCATCCCGAATGCTACCTTCCATAGAACAATTTACAGAAAACGATGGCAATCACGGTAACATTACCTACGCATGGTACAGCTTGCTGTAATCAATACCATGTCGACCCGAAGTTTCCTATCAATCACATATTGCGGATGAATACATTCGTCCCGTAAAGCCGCCTGAGTGTTTCAGTTTTCCACACCAGACCAAATGATACATTTATGATAAAGACGGCACACACCAATAAACAGGAAAAATCGTTACACGGTTCTCATGACCCTCAACTATGTGGGCAAATAGATGCTCAATCTTACAGCTAGTAGCCGGTGACTTTGGGCGTTCTCGATAACATAAAGAAAGCTCCTCAGCTCTGGAATCACGGTATTCTAAGATCAAAATTTTCATGCTGAGCAATCAAGATAGCAGGAGGAGTTGGCACTGGTGTACTCATCTGTTGATGAAGCACAGCTGAAAATACCCAGTACCGCCAATGTCATCTTGTTTAGCATCACAACATATTTTAACCACTGCCTGCTGGCATACGAAAGGCCATTAACTCAGTATGAGGGCACTGAAATCATATCTAAACATACACATATCCCGGCCATAGCATGCTATTTCCGTATCGTGTCTACTACGACGCGCTACGTGGTCAACATGGTCGACCACTGAAATCTGTGTGCACTTTCTGCAGATGAAAAGGTAAAATCACGGCGCCAGCTCAAAATAAGCATCCGGGGCAGGTTTTTCGACCCAATGCACAGTGCACTTTTAACAGAGGGCATAAGTGGACCATGCGAGTGAACATCGTGCAGAGGTGGTTCAAGAGCGTGAAGGTCGGGGGAAGTGGATCCAGAGGGTGAACATCGTTGGTAGGTTGACCTAGCGCGCAGAGACTGTAGGAGCCGGATCATATAGTGCTACGTAGAAAAGTGCCGGTTTTAATTAGCACATTAGCTAAAGGAAACACAAATGCGAGGGGAGCACACTGGATGCAATATGCTACGCCATCGACAACAAGGTAACCACGCGTTACCGGAGGCTTACTCAAATAGTTCACGTTGTTTGAGCAACAGCTCATTACACATTTGGTGTTTACGTCAGTGCTAAGCTTATCTCCCGCAAGATACCCTACAGATACGTTCAGTCTACATTAAAAGAGGACTACGCACATGAAGTAGATGTTTTTTATCAAATCGTTTCATTCAAGGAAAAACCGTGGAATAATTGCAAACTTGGCGGAACTAGTTAGGAGGGCAGAACAGGTGAGAAAAGTAGACCTACCGTAATGCTGAAAAACTCACCAAGCCAAAATTGAAAGCATTCCCCGGGTGTTCTATCATTTGTGACGAGACCTTAAGATCAGATAAGACCTAAGATGCACCAGGATGTGTATCCCTTTTAGAGTCTACCACCTCTAAAGAATGCTTCAAAAAATGGCCACCATAATAACATATAAGAGAGACAAATATCACCACCTATCTTGAATATTTTGCACAAAACTCTTCACCTCTCCAAAGCTCTATCACACAACACACCCAGCTCTGCATGCACGTACACACGGCGGCCCCACCATGACAATGCGAAGGCGATTAGCAGCACGAGCGACCCCGCCCTCCACAACGTCTCGTATATAAGCCCACCGGGCCAGGAACACAGCGTCAGTCACCCACCGGATCACACCGAGAGCACCATGAAGGTGAGGTCAACTGAGAGGTGAAGACAGCACAGCACTGCGTGTTTGATTATACGAAATAAAGTACAATATCAGGGTGGTCTTCATTTGTATTATCAAGAGCGTGTTACATGGTACGTTATATCATTTCAGATCTTCGTTCTCGCCGCTGTCCTGTCGGTGGCTGCGGCCCAAAGCTACGGCAAGGCACCCGCCCCACGCTACGCTTCGGCTCCGGCGCCACGCTTCGCTCCTGCTCCGGCGCCAAGCCACGCACCGGCTCCGTCGTACGCCCGGACGCCCTCCTACGCCCCGTCGTACCAGGAACCGCAGAACCACGCCCAGCCGTACCAGTTTGCGTACGCCGTCAATGACCATTACAGCGGATCAGTGTTCTCCCAGAACGAGAACAGCGACACCAAGATCGTACAGGGCTACTACTCGGCCAACCTGCCCGACGGCCGGGTTCAGCACGTCGAGTACACGGGTGACAACCAGGGTTACGGCGGCTACAACGCCGAGGTCACCTACGACGGCGAGGCCCAGTACCCCAAGCGGGCCAGCTACGCCCCAGCCCGCTCCTACGCTCCTGCCGCTCCCTCTTACAAGGCTGCTCCTGCTTACCAACCGGTTCGCTCCTATCAGCCTGCCCCCTCTTACAGACCAGCTCCCTCTTACCGGCCTGCTGCTCCCTCTTACACACCTGCTCGTTCTTATCGGCCTACTGCTGCCTCTCACAAGCCCGCTCAGTCTTTCGGAGCTCCTTCCCAATCGTATTAGCAAGAGTCCACAACTTAGCTGAGTGTGTGTTCATATCTTATTGTTTTCTCGTTTAAATGTGTGTTCTGCGTCTTTGGTGTAATGCATTGCATAAAATAAACTGTTCGTACTTTAAAAATCAATTATATGAAACAAACCAAGCAACTCGGACCGGGGAACAAACAGCTTTCAAACAGCAAACAGCAAAAAGCTTTCATACCATCTATCGCACACTATTTTTGCTAGCATAACACACACGTTGGGAAACGCAAAGCAAGTGAAAATGATTGTTTCATAGTGGAGAGGGAGTCCAGTGTCATTGATCTCTTTGGAGTGTCCACTCCAACTAAAAAGTCAGAGCAACTCGAAGGATTTTGAGGAAACTTGCGTTGCTGACTAAATGGGACACGCTTAATTTAACTGTGAGCGAAAGCAAGAACAAGATGTCATACTCCATGCCAACCATGGATCTACTGGCCGGCTTTGAAACACATTTGTACGAGCGCACTTTTCTCCCTCTCGTATTTGCCATTAGTGTACCACTTAACACTTGAATGGCATTCGGTCAATCTTGGACTTGGGCCCGCGTCCGCAATGGGCGCGTCGCATACCAACAGTGCAATAACCCGGTGCGCGAGTGAAAAGAGAAATACAAGCCCACAGATATCTATTGACCAATGCTTTTACATTAATGATTCTGACATGTTACTTTTCATGTTACATTGGGGATTGTCTCATTCGTATCATATTCGGGTTTTACATCAACTGTACAGTGAACTGTAACAGCTGGGAATGGAACACCCGGTAGCCCGTCCGGCCAGAGAAAGGCACTTTTTCATGCCGTGCCATATTTCAGATAACCGTATTGTGACCGGGCATACCTCTGTGGGCATCCGGAACTGACATTTAAGAAGCGAGGGACCAGCAAAAGCACCCACTTGGTGACTCAAGCCCATTGTTACTGGATTACAATGCCAAGCCTCGGTCATAGTGCAAGCCATTATGATTGCGAGTAACACAGCTTTACAGGTAAGTGCCACAAAAATGTCTGTACGTCTATTGGCACAGCAGCACATGTTCATTACCTGCATTGCCGCTTCGTCCGACATCGACATGGACAAAGTACTCCCAGCATTTTGCATCCAGTCCATACAAATTCTACGTCATTTTTTGGTTCATTATAAACTGGCAACAAATAAAGAGCCCGTGCAATTAACGACGTGCGTGCAATTATGAAATCATTTACGATTAACGTGCAATTATGAAATCATTTCTTCATATTTGTCTGGCAGAACTCAATGTGTAAAAATCATGAATTGTCTATCAACAATCAAAAACGTAACAATGGGGGTACTCCAAGGATCCATACTCGGCCCAATCCTCTTTTTAATGTACATAAATGACTTCCCTAAATTAAGCAGCAACATGATTTGTCTGTCTTACGCTGATGGTACTGCGATTGTTTTCAAAAATAAAAGTATTGTCGAACTTCAAAACAATTTCAATACGCTTTTGCTTCTAAGGACTTCTTGGTTTACTGCTAATTTTCTCCCCCTGAACGTATCAAAAACATTCACACGGCATTACACAACCCTTTCTCCGCATTTCCGACTAAATGTGCAAACCGATAATTCACCTATTGAAGAGAAAAAGAAATTAAATACCTTGGTGTAATCATTGACAAATATCGTAAGTATACAAGCCACACTAATTTTGTTGCAGGCATAGTAAGTAGAAATATTGGAATAATAAGTAGGGTTAGGTACTTTATTGATAAAACAACGTCACATCTGCTCTATAACACTTTGATTCTTCCTTATCTAAATTGCTGCTGCTTGGTTTGGGGCATAAATTATGCTCCTCATCTAGATCGGTTGGTAATTTTGCAAAAAAGGGCTGTGCGTCTTATAGAAAGTGTGCATCCTCCACAAAGCCCAGAGCCAATCTTTAAACGATACAAAATTTTGAAACTATCGGATATTGCTAAATCTCAAATGCTAATTGTGATGCACAAATTTTTAACTTCACAGCCCCCTGCATCATTTGATTTAATTTACAATCTCTATGAATCTAATGGCATGGATATGAGGCGAGCAAAACATTTAGACCAACCTTTCTCTTATCGTAATTATAGACTATTTACAGCATCTTGCCTTGGCCCTAAGCTGTGGAACGAGCTGTGGAATCATTGTTTCATATTTTCCAAGAATAGCTAATATCCCTGTATCAAAAACCATCGTTAAGAACATCATCCGCAAGCATTTCGTGAACACATATTAACGTAACCAACATATTTGAAGACATTGCCATCCTTGTGCTGTACATATCCAACACACTTCATATTTGACCTCCTCCATGTTTCAAAATCAATTTCTGATATAAAGTCCTCCACATATACCCAAACTCGCGGCGCTGGCTCCGGGAGTTCTCCCAGCAACAAGCTCTGCTTAGCTGGGTGAAATCCCTGGACATCCAGCTCAAAACCCAGCACAAAAATGACCAGGTAATTTCTTGTGTGACTTGTGTGACTGTATAGCCCTTACTAACGCGGTGAATTGAGTGGTTGTAGATTATTGGGCGGTTATAGCGGGCTGTCATTAGCTGACTTTGGCTAATGACTTCTTTAAGCCTTTTCATCTATGATTTTTCCCTACCTATCACATAACACAATTCCTTCGGGTCTGCTCCACCTCTTCGCCTGTTTTTTTACGTTTGTTTCATCTTCCTAGCTGGGAGTGCCGCGACTTGATTTTATGTTTTCTGGTGTTAACGTACGGTTTACTGCGTCGCTGGGATTGAGGGAGGGGCACTCCTAGTTACCTGTTTTTGGGTAACGGCGTAGAAAAAAAGACTCCCACTAACAAAACAACTAATCAGTGCTAACCACTACCTCACCACCTCAATATCTTCGGCGGAACACCTGATTTCTCCAGAGCTCTGGCATACGACATGCACACCCTATATACACGTATACACGACGGCCCCACCATGGGAATGCAAGGGTTATTAGCAGCACGAGTGGCCCCGCCCCTCACAACGGCTCGTGAAGACCACGGGGGCGAGGAGAGAAATCAGTCACCCACCGGACCACACTAAGAACACCATGAAGGTGGGACCAGCTGAGAGACCAAGACTACACGGCACTGCATGCCTGATCATGAAATGTGCAGCCCAATATCAAGGTGATTGCCATTTGCACTGCTTTAAGAGTATGCCATGCATTTCGCTACCTCATTTCAGATCTTTGTTGTCGCCGCTGTTCTTTCGGTGGCCGCGGCCCAAAGCTACAGCCAGGCACCCGCCTCACGCCACGCTTCTGCTCCGGCGCAAAGCCACGCCCCTGATCCGCCGTAGGGCCGGGCGCCTTCCTACGCATCGTCGTACCAGAAGACGCGGTACTACGCCCAGCCGTACCAGTTTGCGTGCGCCGCCAACGACCATTACAGCGGCTCAGTGTTCTCCCAAAACGAGCACAGCGGCACCAAAGTTGTACAGCGCTACTACTCGGTTAACTTGCCCGGCGGCCGGGTCCAGCACGTGAACTATACTGCTGACAACCAGGGCTACGGCGGCTACAACGCCGAGGTGACCTACGACGGGGATGCCCAGCATCCCCAGCAGGGCAGCTACGCCCCAGCCCGACCATACGCTCCTGCCCCTCCCTCTTACAAGGCTGCTTTCTCTTACCAGCCGGCCCGCCCTTTCCAGCCAACTCCCTCTTATAAACCTGCTCGTTCCTACAATTCCGCTCCCTCTTGCACGCCTACTGCTCCCACTTAAAAGCCCACTGTATCTTACGGAGCTCCTTCCCAGTCGTATTAGGAAGCATCGAAAGAAGAGGAAAGTGGTCGTAACACATTGTTCCCTCGTTTGTGTGTATTCTACACCTATTGTGCAAGGCATCAAATAGTAAATATACTGTTACGTACGTGATTAAGCAACTTAATGAAGAAAGAAAGCAGCTCGGATCGGCTGACAAATAACTCGCCGTATTCAGGTCGCTTTCTAGAAATGACAACAACCGAAGAGATCGCAAAGGCTTAATGAGCACGCATTTACGGTACACTTATCTTGAAGTGCTGTCACGAAAAAGCCACGCGAACGTTGCTCTGCGGCGGACATGCGGACAACGATGCAGAAGTAATTCACTATGGTTGAACGATGTGCCTGACATTTTCATCTCTGTATTCCGTGATGATTCCATCACATTCAACGGGAATCTTTAAAGAGGTGGTGTAGATGAATGACATGGCGGCATTTGTTGTAAACCATTCTGATTTTGGGGCAATATCGCGGTGCACAAGCCACTTTAAACTAAATTTGTTGCTGTTACGTTCTTCCACGATTAGGTTGACCATAGCTCAGGGTATAATTATGCCTTCATGAGCGGAGTTCAAAGAATTCCTTCTATACTATTACTGTTGACGTACCTGCTCCTTTGGACCCTCACTATAGTCTCCACGCGAAGGCTTTGCACAATTAATGGAGTTTAATGGGAAATAGTTTTGTTCACAGCCGGTGTCATGGAAAAGCACAAATCAGTTCATAACAGCCCAGTATCTATCAGTGGCGGCAACTATATGCGCCACATGAGAATAAGTTTGCGGCAAACAAGGTTAAAACAAGCACCAGCATTTGAAAGCGGAAAACAACTTATAACCAACACGAAGATGTTTGACTGAAACATGTGTTTCCAGAATGACTTCTGGTTGGGCAACATTCCGCACCAAACTTTGTGCACCTGTACGGAATTAAATAGCCTAACTTTTGGTATGAGACAAATAAGTACGCCTTGTTAGGTCACTGATCTATTGAAAGGCAAATCATGCCTGTCAGCGAATGCAAATCCTTGGGACTAACTTGGGATCTATCTCTGGGGAGCTCTGGCATACCACTTGCAAACCCAGCTTTGCATGCACATACACACATCAGTCTCACCATGAGAATGTGGGAGCGATTGGCAGACCGAGCGACTCCGCCCTCCACAACGACTCGTATATAAGACCGCGGGGCCGGGAACATAGTATCAGCCACCCACCGGAGCACACTAAGAGCACCATGCAGGTGAGGTCAGCTGAGAGGTGAAGAGAGCACATCACTGCATGTTTGATTATGAAAGGTGCAGTCTAAGATCAGGATGGTTGCCATTTGTACTGCTTAAAGAGCATGTCATAGAACACTGCATGTCATTTCAGATCTTCGTTCTTGCCGCTGTCCTGTCGGTGGCTGCGGCTCAAAGCTACAGCCAGGCACCCGCCCAACGCTACGCTCCTGCTCCGGCGCCAAGCCACGCCCCGGCTCCGTCGTACGGCCGGGCGCCTTCCTATGCCCCGTCGTACCGGGAGCCCCGTTACTACGCCCAGCCGTACCAGTTTGCGTACGTCGTCAATGACCATTACAGCGGATCAGCGTTCTCCCAGAACGAGAACAGCGATACCAAGATCGTACAGGGCTACTACTCGGTCAACCTGCCCGACGGCCGAGTCCAGCACGTCAAGTACACGGCTGACAACCAGGGTTACGGCGGCTACAACGCCGAGGTCACCTACGACGGCGAGGCCCAGTACCCCGAGCGGGCCAGCTACGCCCCAGCCCGCTCCTACGCTCCTGCCGCTCCCTCTTACAAGGCTCCTCCTGCTTATCAACCGGTTCGCTCCTATCAGCCTGCCACCTCTTACAAACCAGCTCCCTCTTACCGGCCTGCTGCTCCCTCTTACACACCTGCTCGTTCTTACCGGCCTACTGCTGCCTCTTTCAAGCCCGCTCGGTCTTACGGAGCCCCCTCCCAATCGTATTAGCAAGAGTCCACAACTCACTTAAGTGTGCACTCATATCTTCTTGTTTTCTCGTTTAAATGTGTGTTCTACGTCTTTGGTGTACATTGCATAAAATAAACTGTTCGTACTTTAAAAATCAATTGTATGAAACAAACCAAGCAACTCGGACCGGGGAACAAAACATCGTCGCAGTAAGGTTGCACATGGCGGGCAGGAGGATAGCGACTGAACAAACGCCTCCATAACACTCGTGATGTATGATCCTGAGGCAGTGGTGAACTGCGCCCAACACGCTGGCAGACATTGTGTTAAATCTTTAACACCGGATTTCTGAGGCAAAGAACAAAATACCATCAGATTGTTGAAGTGAGGCATGTCACTATCTCCAGTTATGGTTGGATCCGAGCCCTGGATCACTCCAGTTGTAATACAGCCATGATATAACAGATAATTACAGTTGGGGCAAACAGCATATCAGCAATAACATTTCAAATTTTGGTTTTTTGTTAAGAGTTGGAAAGATGCCTTGTATACCAATAATTTTCACTTGCTTTCGGGGCAACTCCGAACACTTTTGGCAGCGATCTCAAATCATACGACATGGTTACTATCCCGAATGCTACCTTCCATAAAACGATTTACAGAAAGCGATGGCAATCACTGTAACATTACTTACGCATGGTACAGCTTGCTGTAATCAATACCATGTCGACCCGAAGTTTCCTATCAATCACATATTGCGGATGAATATATTCGTCCCGTAAAGCCGCCTGAGTGTTTTAGTTTTCCACACCAGACCAAATGATACATTTATGATAAAGACGGCACACACCAATAAACAGGAAAAATCGTTACACGGTTCTCATGACCCTCAACTATGTGGGCAAAGAGATGTTCAATCTTACAATTAGTAGCCTGTGACTTTGAGAGTTCTTGATAACATAAAGAAAGGCCCTCAGCTCTGGAATCTAGGTATTCTAAGATCAAAATTTTCATGCTGAGCAATCAAGATAGCAGGAGGAGTTGGCACTGGTGTACTCATCTGTTAATGAAGCACAGCTGAAAATACCCAGTACCGCCAATGTCATCTTGTTTAGCATCACAACATATTTTAACCACTGCCTGCTGGCATACGAAAGGCCATTAACTCAGTATGAGGGCACTGAAATCATATCTAAACATACACATATCCCGGCCGTAGCATGCTGTTTCCGTATCGCGTCTACTACGACGCGCTACGTGGTCAACATGGTCGACCACTGAAATCTGTGTGCACTTTCTGCAGATGAAAAGGTAAAATCACGGCGCCAGCTCAAAATAAGCATCCGGGGCAGGTTTTTCGACCCAATGCACAGTGCACTTTTAACAGAGGGCATAAGTGGACCATGCGAGTGAACATCGTGCAGAGGTGGTTCAAGAGCGTGAAGGTCGGGGGAGGTGGATCCAGAGGGTGAACATCGTTGGTAGGTTGACCTAGCGCGCAGAGACTGTAGGAGCCGGATCATGTAGTGTTAGGTAGAAAAGTGCCGATTTTAATTAGCACATTAGCTATAGGAAACACAAATGCGAGGAGAGCACGCTGGATGCAATATATTACGCCATCGACAACAAGGTAACCACGCGTTACCGGAGGCTTACTCAAATAGTTCACGTTGTTTGAGCAACAGCTCATTACACAATTGGTGTTTACGTCAGTGCTAAGCTTATCTCCCGCGAGATATCCTACAGATACGTTAAGTCTACATTAAAAGAAGACTACGCACGTGAAGTAGATTGTTTTTATCACATCGTTTCATTCAAGGCAAAAAAAGTGGAGTAATTGCGAACTTGGCGGAGCTAGGTGGGAAGGCAGAACAAGTGGGAAAAATAGACCTGCTGTAATGTTGAAAAAACTCACCAAGCCAAAACTGAAAGCATTCCCAGGGTGTTATATCATTTGTGACGAGACCTTAAGATAAGATAAGACCCAAGATACACCAGGATGTGAATCACTTTTAGAGTCGACCACCTTTAAAAAATGCTTCAAAAACATGGCAACCATAATAACATATAACAGAGATAAATATTACCACCTATCTTGAATATTTCGCACGAAACTCTTCACCTCTATCACAGCTCTATCACACAACACACCCAGCTCTGCATGCACGTACACACGGCGGCCCCACCATGAGAACGTGAAGGCGATTAGCAGCACGAGCGACCCCGCCCTCCACAACGGCTCGTATATAAGCCCACCGGGCCAGGAACAAAGAGTCAGTCGCCCACCGAATCATACCAAGAGCACCATGAAGGTGAGGTCAACTGAGAGGTGAAGACAACACAGCGCTGCATGTTTGATTATACGAGATTAAGTCCAATATCAGAGTGGTCTTCATTTGTACTATCAAGAGCGTGTTGCACGGTACGTTATATTATTTCAGATCTTCATTCTCGCCGCTGTCCTGTCGGTGGCTGCGGCCAAAAGCTACGGCCAGGCCCCCGCCCCACGCTACGCCCAAGCTAAGACACCACGCTTCGCCCCTGCTCCGGCGCCAAGCCACGCCCCGGCTCCGTCGTACGGCCGGGCGCCTTCCTATGCCCCGTCGTACCGGGAGCCCCGTTACTACGCCCAGCCGTACCAGTTTGCGTACGTCGTCAATGACCATTACAGCGGATCAGCGTTCTCCCAGAACGAGAACAGCGATACCAAGGTCGTACAGGGCTACTACTCGGTCAACCTGCCCGACGGCCGGGTTCAGCACGTCAAGTACACGGCTGACAACCAGGGCTACGGCGGCTACAACGCCGAGGTCACCTACGACGGCG